GAGGACAGTGTGTATGGGGGCAGTGTGTGTGGGGGGGCAGTGTGTGTGTGGGGCAGTGTATGTGTATGTGTGTGGGAGCAGTGTATGTAGGGGGGTGAATGTGTGGTGAGGAGGGTAAGGGTTTTTTTTTCTAAAAAAAAATATATATTTAATCAAATTACATACATTTATGTCCCCCCCTCCCTTCTTACCTTTACTGGGAGGAGGGAGGACATTTCTCCATCCCTGGTGGTCCGGTGAGGAATCCCTGGTGGTCCCAGTGGTGAGAGTGAACTCTAGCCCGTAGCTCCAGGGCTAGAGTTCACGCTCGCGAGATTTGGAGTGTTGCCGTGGTAACCGCGGCAACACTCTGTGCTCACGATAGAAGGACCCGGAGGAGCTACAGGCTGAGCTCCCAGGTCCTCTCTCCACTGGCGGATAAGGCTCTCTCTCGCTCTCCCTCCCTCGCCTGCCGGCTGGCTGCGAACCAGGTAGGAAGATCTCTGCTCTCCCCTCCGGTCCATGAAGGGCTGGCGCTTGGACAGTGCCAGCCCTGCATTAGCCAGCAGGGGAAACGCTCGGCAGGCGGGGGCAATTGCCTGGATCCACTGCTGCTGGGGAATGGAGAGGGGGGGAAGGACCTCTAAGGGGTTTGTGAGAGGGGGGGAAATGGAGGACCATGCCGGATAAGGTAGCCACAACCCCGGAATTCGATTCCCTGGTTGCCATGTACATAACCCGTACTGGACGTGATTCCAAGAAACGGGTCAAGCGCAGCCTTCGTCTGGCACAAGACAAACTGCTGGGCCCCCTATGCATGATGCTCATGCTTGCGGACGAGGCCTACTTGGAGGGGGCTGCCTTGGACCCTGCCGCCATGTAGGACTGGGCTTTGCGCTCTATTTACCTGCTGGGCAATACTAATGTGGCACTCTCCACGGAACGCATGAAGGTGGTACTTCTTCGTATGGACATCAAGTTTGGGGAACCCTTCATAAAGAAGCTTCATAAACATGTAAATCTGTTCACTTTCCTGTACAAGGCTCAGACTTCAATGAAGAGGGACTTCACAGGTTTTTGGCAGGTCTGGACGACAGCGGGGTCATGTCTCCAGCCGCTTCTGGCCTTCTGGTCGCCGAGGATCATATGGATCATCGTTCTTCCCGTCCTACCATTCCCAGCCCTTCTACTCCCAAAGGTCGGACAGAGGTAGAGGAAATCGAGCCTGAGGACGTGCAAGACTGTTTTCAGGTGAGAACAACTCCTGCCGTTTCTCCCTTTCCCCTGTTGCATGCAGGCAGACTGTTTCACTGCAGGGACAGGTGAAAACATCAAAGCATCAAAGGACTACGATCTATCTTTTGAACCACTGCTTGACCCTCAACACGGAGCCTTGTCTTGTTCTTGGGGGGATTCACTGTATGCTGTTAGAGACTGATTGCCAGGAGTGTAAGCTGATTGTCTGCTTTTCCTGTTCGTCTGCTAGCAGCTATTTGGGAGGTTCCAGTTCGGGAGTTGGAGTGCTATTTTGTTTCCAGTTCGGGAGTTTGGTGTTCTGCAGTAGCTGTGCCTGCATCACTGGAAAGGGGGACGATCGCCTAAACGGTTTTTACCCCTTGTGTGCAAAACGGTCCATTACAATTGGTGGCAGCGGTGGGATCGTTCCTACAGCCAGAAGGACAGCTACAGGAGACACCATTTCTTTGGATTTACAAGTGGGGGCAACGCATGTCCCAGTACAGCGATCCTAAAAGCAACAGAATGGAACCAGCAGTGTTATACGAGGAGGAGGACCTGGATGGCCGGGATGCATTAAGGAAAAGCATCTGGTACCAGGCCCTGGATAATGTGCAATACCAGCGGGGTGAGAGTCTTCCTAGTGAAGAGCAGCGGTTGCAGAAGCAAGTGGCTCCCTTCCTGGGAGAGCAGCCCCTGGATGAATGGGTGAAGGAATTGGAGCTCCGAGTATGGCAGGAGATTTGGCTGGAAGATGCCTACCAGGCGCTCTGGTGGTATGGGGCACAGTACCTGCCCTGGACAGCCGAGCATGACAAGCCAGAGGGAGAGGAGTTTGATGGTCCTGGCTTGTTATGGGAGTCTTTTGCAGAGCCTGAGTTTGGGAGCCCTACACAAGCCCAATTCAGTGATCTCTTGGAGTGGAGGGAGAGCAGGTATGACTGGGACGACACTCACGAAATTGAGCAAGACCTGGCTCACCTAGCAACCCTGGAGTGGGAACTGGAGCAGGACTACCGAGATCTCTTCCACTCCATTGAGAAGGCTCAGCAGGACAGCAAGGTGACAGATCCAGTTCCAGACCCATTCAGCTGGGAAGATATTGTTGAAATTTACTGGGAGGAACCCCAGGCGGCAGGTGGAGAGGGGACCGAGGTCTCTCCACCGGTATTGCAGGGAATTGGGAGCCCGAGCTCCATTCCCCAGCAGGAGATATTGCAGGGAATTGGGAGCCCGAGCTCCATTCCCCAGCGGGAGATATTGCAGGGAATTGGGAGCCCAGTCTCCATTCCCCAGCGGCAGAATGATTTATTGGGAATTGAGAGCCCAGTCTCCATTCCCCAGCGGCAGAATGATTTATTGGGAATTGGGAGCCCAGTCTCCATTCCCCAGCGGGAGATACAGCAGGGAATTGGGAGCCCAGTCTCCATTCCCCAGCGGCAGGACTCTGTATTGGGAGCAGAGACAGTCGGTCTCCCTCCCCCGCGGCTGGAAGTATATATGGGAGAGGAGCTTGTTACCCCCCCTCCCCAGTGGCAGCTTAATGTACCAGGGGGAGACAGTAAGCCCCACAACTGTGCAGATGGGACCGTGGTCTCTGCACGTCCAGCACAGGGGGTAGGGATGGTCGGTTCTGCCCCCCAGCAACAGGGCTGTTTAGCCAAAGCGGAGACAGTCGGTCTCCAGCAGCAGGGCTGTGTATCTAAAGGGGAGACAGTCGGTCTCCAGCAGCAGGGCTGTGTATCTAAAGGGGAGACAGTGGTCTCCAGCAGCAGAGCTATGTATCTAAAGGGGAGACAGTCGGTCTCCCCCTCCAACAACCAGGCTTCAACCAGGCTACCCTCCCAGTAGCGCTGGCAACAGGGCAGAGTACCGCTGGTCTTTGCCCACGCAGCAACCCACCAAGTCAGCATACCCGTACCCAGCACAGCCGTGGTGAGGCATCTGGACATGGACAAGCCAGGTGTAGTAACCATTTATTGTGGGTGGGCTGTGCTGTTGATTGTGTTTTGTGGGTGGGCTGCTGGACTAACAAGGGCACTGACCGGCAGGAGGTCAGATACCCTGTTTGGAAAAGGGGAGAGATGTGACGAGACCAATCTCGCCACATTGCATTGGAGAAGCCTGGTTGCTCGCCTGTTGCCTTTGGATTATGGCCCCATGTTAAAAGGCTTGATTTTCCCCTGCAAAGACAAGAAAGCCGGGTCATTTGGTGCTTGCCCTGTTTGAGCAGTGATACCCCAGATAGCTATGCCATGGAGCCCATTCGTATAATGAAAGACTTTGGCTCCATGGCAATTGAACTGTATGTGTGTGCTCTGAGCGCCATTCAGTAATAATGTGCGCTCAGATCTGAGCTATCTGGGGATATGTTGCATGTCTGTATTTTATGTCATAAATGAAACCTTGTGTATTTTATTGTATTTTACTGTCTTTTTGCTGCCATGTGTTCAATGGAGTTTTGCCTCTGTCTTTGGAGATAATTGGATTACTTCTAATTATCTCCAGGATAGAAGACTCTGTGGAACTGGTTTTGGGCAGAAAAGCCATGCTTCCTGTGGTCACAAAGGACTACGATCTATCTTTTGAACCACTGCTTGACCCTCAACACGGAGCCTTGTCTCGTTCTTGGGGGGATTCACTGTATGCTGTTAGAGACTGATTGCAGGAGTGTAAGCTGATTGTCTGCTTTTCCTGTTTGTCTGCTAGCAGCTATTTGGGAGGTTCCAGTTCGGGAGTTGGAGTGCTATTTTGTATCCAGTTCGGGAGTTTGGTGTTCTGCAGTAGCTGTGCCTGCATCACTGGAAAGGGGGACGATCGCCTAAACGGTTTTTACCCCTTGTGTGCAAAACAGTCCATTACAGAGGCTATTTCGTCCCATCTTCCTCGAGATCGCGGACCAGAGGGGTCCATTCACAGTGGCTCCCGGATCCAGCGTGCTCAGCGGTGGATGCTTTCCTTCAATTGTGGCCTTCACAGGGAGCTTATGCGTTTCCTCCGTTTGCTATGATAACCAGGGTATTACTGCAAGTTCAGCCTCAACGTGTGTCTTTGGTGTTGCTGACTCTGCTGTGGCAGGGTCAAGCCTGGTTTCTGGAGCTCCTGGATCTGTCCCGTCAGGATCCACTGCTCCTTCCGTCCCCGCTGATGCTCCTCTCGGATTCTCGGGGCAATCCTCATCCCCTCGTGATGGACGGCCACCTGCACCTGGTGGCCTGGACTCTTTCAGGGGAGCCTGGAATGTCAAGGCGTTATCGCTGGGCCCCTGGGACTAGGATGATGCTATTTATCAGCATGGAGGTCCTGGTATTGTTGGTGCCTGGAACGGGATACCTATCCCTTTACAGGCCCTGTAACCAGCGTTCTGAACTGTCTTCTCACCTGTTTGACCTGGGATGCTCGTTCGGTTAATGTGGCAAGATCTGCGACTTCGGCAGCCCACGTACCGCTTAGAGGTTTTCCCATCAGTCAGGATCCACTGGTTTGCAGACTTCTCCGTGGTATGAGACTGTCGCGACCACCGATGCCTAAGTATCCCTCCCTCTGGGACATACGTGCGGTTTTATCGTTCCTCCAGGATTGGCCTGATAATCAAGACCTCTCCCTTCGTCAACTTTCACTTAATTTGCCCTCTTACTATGCCTTATATCTTTTAGGCATGTTTTTGATGTCCGGGCCTTCGATGTCGATTCTTTTTCTTTCTCTCCGGAAGGGGCACCTTCATGGTGTCAAGACGTACTAAGTTGGATTAGACGGCTATTTTTTACCCATATTTCCGCGTTTCACCTAGCTCTGTGTAGCGAAGGCTCTCTCTCGCTGTGTGGCATTTACCTCTCCCCTTCACCCTTCTCGTTCTGGTCAGTTATTGATTTCTTATGTCAGACCTCTCAAACCAGTCCCGTCTCCTACTCTGGCGCGATGGATCAAATGGTTGTTGGCATTGGCAGGGGTGAATTCGTCCTTCGGCGCGCATTCGGTTAGAGTCTTCATGGAGGGCACATCTCTTGAGGACATCATGCGTTCGGCTGACTGGTCCCGAGAAGATACCTTTTCGTCAATTTTATTTTAGACCGTCGGATCATGCTGCTTTTGCTTTTCTGTCTGAGCGTTAAAACAGCAAATAAATAAAGCCTCCTTTCATGCTATAAAATTGTAGATTATACTACCTTTAGTGTAACTTTAATCTTAATTTTATTAATGACAGGAGGTGAATATTTCCCTCCCAGTTTCTCCCTCCCCTTATACTATGTTGGCTTTAAGTTGACCTACTTTAAGTGTTAGTCTGTCCTCCAGGGCTGTGGTAGTTAGGTCAGGTTATTGTCTTTCTAGGGGAAGTCAGGGTGTATTTTCTGGTATGTTGTACTGTCGGTGATTGAGTCTGGGTATTCATGTTTTCACAGTACATTTCATTCACTAATCTGAGTTTTCAACTGTTTATCTCGTTTTCAGTTTAATGGTTCGACTACAGATCCAAGTTCCAGACCTTCTTTGGGATAAAGTCCAAGGGTCCCTCTACTGATCTACGTTCGTTTCAAATTTTGGATGACGGTCATCGTTTGGGTTTCTTCTGCTATTACTATTGAATTGTATATTGTTCCTGTACTTGGGTTTTTGTCGCAGCTTGAAATTGGAAGTAGTTGGTTGGGAGGAGCCTTATATGTTTTCCTTACTTTTGTGCTGCTGTGGAGTTCTAGTAAAGAGAGACTTAAAGGGACACTTTAGTCAACCAGCCCACTTCAGCTCAATTAAGTGGTCTGGGTGCCAGATCCCTCAGGTTTTAACTCTTCACATGTAAACAGAGAAACTGCTATGCTTACATAGCAGGGTTAATCCAACCTCTGGTGGCTGTCTTCCAGACAGCCGTTAGAAGCGCTTCTGCGACGCTGCATGCAACATTTGCATCCAGCATGCAGAACGTCCATAGAGAAGCATTGAGAAATTTGCTTTCTGCTCCACTCGAGAGCTGACGTTGGCGGGGGAGGAGATGTCACCAGCACTGAGGGTGCCCGGCGCTGGATTAAGGTAAGCTGCTGGATTTAACCCCTTCAGCGCCACGGGAGGGGGACCCTGAGGGTGGGGGCGCCCTCAGGGCACTATAGTGTCAGGAAAACCGCTTTGTTTTCCTGACACTATAGTAATCCTTTAAGATAGGCATTGCTACTGCTTGTCTTACTATGCATTGGAACACTTCAAAGAAGGGATGATAAGTGGAAGTACAATAATGTGTACCTAATGTACTTGCAAAGCACCTTTTCCTTCACATATTTTGTGATACGGTAAGCAAATGATATAGTAATAAAACTGCTTCCTGTTCCTGGTGCATTGTTTGGAATATAAAATACATTGTGGCAGAATTAAGGGTTATTTTTGCCTGTTTACTTGCAGTTACTTCCCGCTAACAAAAGCAGAACTAATAAAGGAAGTGAACCTAATTTGTTTCTTTTGGTTTAAATTATGCACTCAAAGTAACAAACCCTTGTTCAAAAGGGAAAACTGTTGGCTATTTTCACACATATGTAAAGTATGATGTATTTTCTTTACACATGAAGCGATTGCAAGGTGTGTGTGTGTGTGTGTATGTGTATAGTGGATGCAGTGTGTGTATATAACGTTTTGGGGCTTCTGTGGGCAGTAAGCATTTTATTTTGTACATTTTAAATACAATTTTTTTATTCCCCTCTCCCTTCTTCTTACCCGTGGACAGGGAGGGGGGACATTACACTTCCTGGTAATCCAGTGGCACAGTACAGGATTTTGCATACCTTTATAATGACCTCCATTTCTGCACCAAACCTCAACTTCAGTCTCCACACCTCACTTGAGTCTCTACACCACCCACTTCAGCCTCTAACCAACCCCCCTTCAGCCCCTAACCCCCACTGCAGTGTCTCTCCCTTTTGATCCTAAACCCCTACCACTTCAGTCTCTAGCCCCCCACTACTGCCTATTACACCCTTCCTAAGTCTCTTATCTCCCACTACAGGTCCTAACCCGTCACTTGAGCCTCTAACCCTCCACTACTGTTTCAAACAGCACACTTAAGCCTCTAACCCCACACTACTGCACCTAGCCCCCATTACAACCCCTTACGCCCACATTACAGCTTCTACCCCCCTACAGCCCTTTACTCCCCAATACTTTTTACCCCACTACAGCCTTTACGGCTCCTAACACCCATTATTGCCCCTAACATTCACCACAGTCTCCGGTCCCCCACTACTACCCCTAACACACACTATTGCCCTAATAGCCATAAGTCCCCCCCACTACCGCCCCATCCATAACTACAGCCCCTACCACCTCATTACTGCTCCTATCCCTGACTGCTGCCTTTAAACCCTCACTACAAAGCCAAACCCCCACCCTGCTTTATTGTCCTAAATGGAAATTCCACTACTTCCCACGTATATTTCCTTCACATCACACACCAACAGTGGCCCAAACTTATCACTCCAACTTCTACACATACAGGGCCATCTTTAACATTGATTGGACCCTGGGCAAGAATTTACTTGGTGCCCCTGGATCCTGCCCTCCCACTCCCTAGCATGCAATCACTCCCTCCACCCCAACACACATGCACCTCAACATACAGATACACTGAAAGATACACACACTGACATTCAGGTACACACTGTAACTCGCAGGTACACACACTGGCTCATACACACAGATACACAGTCTGGCACATACACACAGATACACAACCTAGTACATGGATACAAACAGTGACACATACACACTGACACAGATACACACACTGACACTCAGATGCACACAGTGACACACACTGTCATATACACACATTGGCACATACACTCAGATACACACTGACACAGATACACACAGTTACACATACACACAGAGGACCCCCCACCCTCAGGGTTAAAACCCATTGGTTACTTACTTTAATCCAGTCCAGCGCTTGTGATCTCTCCTCCCCCGTCGACGTCAGCTCCCGAGTGGAGCGGAATGCGCATGCGTGGTGTGACAAACTGCCTTTTGTTACTGGGCTTTTATGTGACCAAATGCCCTTTGCCCCTGGCTTTTGGAGGAGCTTGATTGCCAGCCTCATGACTATGGTCCTGGGGTGTATGGCCCTTTAAAAACTATATGTGGGCATATTGGGACTTTTAAAAGACTGTTTCTGCCCCTTTGATTCCATGGGAGAATGTGCTTCTTCCCCTCCCCCTTTAATACCTATCCCATTGTCCTCCAGCAGGGCGTTGTCCCAGGGACACTGCCAGACTAGTTTAAACTGGCTGCTTTGTCCCTCCTCAATCTCTCATCAGCCCTTGCAAAACTTTAACCCCATGGCAAATTTACTCTGTTCGTGAGATCTGAGCGCTGTTCACCTATATTGGGCGCTCAGATCCGAGCTATCTGGGGATAGGTTAAATGTGGGGGTTCTGTGTTATATAATAGGAATTATGTATTTTACTGTTAGTGTAAAATGGAGATATTTTCTGTACCTGGAGATAATTGAGTTTACTGCAGTTCCTTAAGCCAATTATTTCCAGGATAGAGGGGAGGGATTTTACTGTGTATGTGGGAGTGTTATTTTTTTTAATTAGTGTTCCCCTTTTATCACAGTTTACCACCAGGTCCAGGGGGTGTGCCTCTGTCCTGAAAACTTGCATATAAAGAGATCTTTGGTGCTGAATAAAAGAGATCTTCTTGACCCTCAACACGTAGTCTTGTCTCGTGATTGGAGAGGACAGCTATATTCACACTGGGGATTGCTATACTTGTATACTCCCCTGAGCTTTAATCACTTAGCTCTTTTAAGAGCTTGTTTCTGATACGCTCTCCTGGAGGAGAGGTCTTCCCCACACAGTCCTGGATGTCGGAGGTTCATACAGGGTGGAAGGAAGAGGTCTTTCCCACATGGTCCTGGAAGACAGAAGATGATCATGGGTGGAAGGAAGACGGCGAGACTCCAGTTAAGCTACGGCGGTTGTGGAGTCTGCGGTGGTTGTGGTGTCCGGTGCAGTGGTTATGGTCTTTCTTTTGCCAGAATAATGGAAGAGTACATCAAAGACTCCCTTAGTAAGGGCCTCATACATAAATAATCCTCGCCTGCTGGTGCAGGGTTCTTTTTTGTATCTAAAAAAGATGGAGAATTATGTCCATGTAATGACTACAGGGCATTAAATAAGATCACCATTAAAAATGCTTATCCCATTCCTCTCATTTCCGAATTGTTTGAAAGGCTCCAGCGTGCTAAAGTCTTTACTAAACTTGACCTCAGTAGTGCATGCAATTTGGTAAGGATTAAGGAAAATCATGAGTGGAAAATGGCATTTAACACTAGAAGTGGGCACTTTGAGTACCTTGTTAAGCCATTCGGGTTATGTAATGCTCCGGCCGTGTTGTAGAACTTTATTAATGATGCACTCAGGGACTATATTGATTAATTTGTCCTGCTTGGTTACCTGGATGACATCCTTATTTACTCCTCTGACCTTCAGACTCACCACAACTATGTTAAACAATTATTGCAAACTTTACTTAAAAATCAACTTTGTTGCAAACTGGGAAATTGCATCTTTGACCAGACTGAAGTACAGTTCTTGGGATATAATATTTCAGCCACGTCATATTGGAGGTTGATACCTCTGAAACAGGGGTGGAGGCTGTCCTATCTCAAAGGGAGAGTCAGCATACTCCTTTGCATCCATGTGAATACTTTTCAAGAAAGTTGTCTCCTGCTGAGTGTAATTATGATATTGGCAATAGAGAACTGTTGGCTATTATACTAGCGCTAAATGAGTGGTGACATCTTTTGGAGGGTTCCAAGGAACCCCCCTTTTTTTCATATCTAATTTTTTATTGATTTTTACTAAACAGTGCACAGTGCATTCAAGTCAACATAGACGTTGCTTCCAATACAGAAATTGACATGGTTAAATTTGTTATTGTTTGTCACTCCTGGGGTCATTGTATACCGTTTTTATGGGTTCCATACAAGCAGTTTACCTTTTACACATC